AAACAATTTTGTATATCAGTAAAGAAGATTCTATTCGTAAATGAAGATTTAGATTTGTCTTTTTTTTTAGTTTGTACTAAACAAACTGATACATTTTCGAAATTTGAATCTTTGAAATATATCATTGTGTATGATCGTGTTAGAAAATATTGAAAAATATATAAGATTTATTCATGTAATGCCTACCGAACTGAAATATAAAACTCAGATTGAATTTAAAAGAAAGTATCAATAAGACTAGTAGAATATTCTGAGGGTTTTAGGCGATTCGTAAAACATTGACAATCAACTGTGTTCAAAAATAGAACGAACAGAACAATCCTCATGTGATTAGCAGCAGCTACTAGATTGTGTTTCTCATTTTCATCTCATAAGAATTGCGTTGACAACTTTCTTTTTATTTCATATGTTGCATATTTTTATTTTCTTTATTAGTATAATTTTGAACATTGAAATTCTCAAATTGACTGTAAGATTATGATAAACGATAGAAAATGATGAGCATATGGTTTTTTTTCATGTCATTAAGTTGCAGGATGTACTCATTGACGTTTGATAAATAATCTAGAAAACAAGACCAAAAATTATTGAATTTGATATTGATAGATTCATTGTTTCAACATTTCTATACGAAAAAAAACAAAACATTCAATGAGTAGCACACCTTGTAACCTATAAGGCATGATACGAAAGTTCTACATTTGTTTTATTTTCAGTTTAGTACAACAACAACAACTTGTCATATAGAGTCGATAGTTTTCTTATTGGAAAAAGCAAGATATCTACTGAAAAGCGTCTTGCAATTTTACACACAAACAATAATGAAAAGTTTATTGGATGAATTTATTTTGCACTTGAGTTTTCTATTTATATTAAAAGATTCGAACTATCAAAATTACAAATTCCATAGGAAAATATTTTATTAAAAACATGTGATGAAGTATTATTTAATGTGTAGAGAGCTCATTAAACTTGGAATTTCACTAACTGCGATGACTGGAAATAATCTTATCTTTCGAAATCACTTTTTCATTGTGAATAATTTTGCTCTAGTAAACACTGGGAAAAATGTCGATTTCGAACTCAACCGAAAACTTGAAAATTATATTTTTACCTATTTATAACATCCTATGATAGCATTACGAAAGGCAATAAATAAGACTAACTTTCTTATTCAATGAAGATTCTCTTTGATATCGTAAAACATTGCAGAGAATTGTTTTTTTTTTGTCAGTGAAACTTATTCTTAAATCTGTTTTGTAGGAAAAGGCAGCAATACCATCAACAATAAATCCAACAACATCATCATTACTCGGTAGTCAATTAGATGATGATTCTGATGATGATGATGATGGAATTCAAGTTACTATTCGTAATATTAAATCAGGCACATCAATTTTTCCACCAGCTCGACAAAATAGTCGAACAACAATACCATGTAAATAAATATTCGGATATTTTATTGTTTTTTGTATGCTTAATTAAGTATATTTTGTTTTTGAAATTCTAGCGGGTCCAGTCATCCCAACAAAATCACAGGCAACACGTGCTATTGATTTAGATGCACAAGGTATTATTAATGGACAGCCAACATATGAACATGATTTAATGAATGCATATAAAGATGATGAAAAACCATGGAAAAAACCAGGTTTGATGAAACATCGTAGAATTAGATATCGTTTAAAGATATGTTGTTGTTGTTGTTTTTTTTTAGGAGCGGATATCACTGATTATTTTAATTATGGTTTTACTGAAGAAACATGGGCACAATATTGTGATCGACAACGTCGTTTACGTTCAGAAAATAATTTAGCTCGTCTCAATGCTGCTCATGTAAAAAGAACTTGTCAAATAAGATGACTACGTTTCATTTCAAACGCTACTTATAGAGTTTTGAAGTGCAACTATCAAATTTTGTTTATAGTTATTTCAATCATGTATATCTAATAATGCTCATAGTAGTTGTTTTTTGATACCGAAAAATTTTCTTATAACTTTCTTCGAAATTGTGTGTCACCATGGTCTAAATCGATTACTCAACGCCTAAAAAGAAATGTCAATTTTTTGTTTCTGAACCTTTGGACTATTTGTAAAATGATGAACTTATTATTATTTTATTGAATTTTTCACTTAAACAGTATTTATCACAAAACTCATACTTTTGTACCCTTAGGAATGGAAAAATTGACCTTTTTTCAAGTATTGAGTGGTTAATTTGATCATGACATATAAAATGCATAAGTCAATCGATTAGTATATTTATAGAGTATGGTGGTACACAGTTTCTGAAAAAGTTGCACGATCAGTCGCCATTATTCTAAGGAGGCATATTGAATAATTGAAAACATTATAATAGCCAAAAATTAGAGAATCTAATAAAAATGCTAAAATTTTGGGTATGAAAAAAGGTAATGTGAGTATTTAGTTGACCCATACGATTAAAGATAAGACAAGACTATTGAAGAATAACTTAAATTAATATTTGATTATATCATTTATAATTGCTATAATATTGACTAACTGCTACAAAAACAGTATAGGTGACTTTTCCTGTGAAGAGTGGTCATCTTATCTAAGAGAGTTTATTAAAACATTTTTTGACGCATATAAAATCTTATTTAGATTCCACCAATGCCACAAATGCTTCCTGTTCATCCCCCTATGGTACATCAAATGAATCCTCATCCAGCGATGATTATGAATAAACCACCAATAAATATGCCAATTGTACAACGACCGTTTATGAATGTACGAAAACAAGATGGAAGAATTGATGTTATTGGTATGATAATTTTTATTTTCATAATTAAGATTATTTTGTTTTTTGTTTTCTATGTCAAGGTGCTACTGATCAAACATCCCGTCGACAAATGTTTGATGCACCAAATACTTTCGAACATCCACCATTTATGAACGGACCTCCATTGTATGTTTTCTGAAAGCTTTGAAAAAAATTATAATTTCTGCAATTCTTTTTTTTTTGTGATGATTTATTTATTTTTTGATTATTGTTAGAGATATCTAAGAGCAAGTTTTTTTTCGTTCTGCTCTCGACTTAAAGAAAACTATTTCAGCATTTACTCATAGAAACGAAAAAAAAGTTTTGAATACTTTCTCATGTGTCCAGACATAATAAATTTGAATTGTTTTCGAGCCGATCTCATTCATCCCTAATCATATTTTATTAAGGTAATAGAGTTTCAATTGAACAGACTTATTGTCAAGAGTGACTGGGCGATTCGTCACGAGTATGTACGTGTGAATGAGGATCTTTCGTGTATCCTCATTGACACTAACTCACATCCATCCTAGAACCGAAATCTTTTTAGAGGTTTTATTAGAAATTATGTAGTATCTATAAGAAAAAAAAAATAATTGAAATCTGAACCGAGCATCGAAGGAGATTCCCTTACTAAATATGAACGAGAAGAATTTATTTGACATTATCTTTAGTCCTGGTGGTCAACCACCTAGTGGTCAAACAGTTGGTGATCTCGTTACTCCACCACCAACATCCAATGGTCCTGCACCACAACATGGAACACCACCTGGTGGTAATCATCCTATACCAACACTGGGTGCACATCGATTACCTATGATGGCTCCACCACCTGGTATGCAATTTCGGCCTCAATTTGGTCATCCACATGCGCCTGGTGCCCCTCCATTTTTTCCTCATGGACCTGCTGCAGGCATGCATGGCGAAAGGTAAAAATTCTTCTTTTCATTCATTTTAGAGTATACTTACAATTTATTATAGACCACCACAACCATACTTTTTACCTCATCATCCACAGCAACCATGGGATAAGTAAGTTTCCTTTTATTTTTTTTTCTCCATGTTAATTATTTTGATTAAATTATATTTATTAATTAGAGCTGGTATGCCTCCTGTACATGGTTTTCCACCTGGACATTTTCCTCCTCAAGCACCTGTACCAAGTAATACTGGTAATGGACGACCACCATCTAGTCGAAGTCCAACACCTGAAGATCATTCACCACGTAGTTCAACACCGGAAGAAAATCGTCCTAGTGGTAATGGTGGTGATACTGAAAAAACATCAAAAGATGATCGATATAAAGATAGATATCGGTATTTAATGAGAAAATGTTTTAAAAAACATCTACTTTTTTTTTCTTTCAAGAGATGAGCGTGAACATTATTCAACATCACGTCGTCGTTCATCTCCAAAAGATCGTTCATCATCATCTTATCGTTCACGTCATCGAAGTGGTGATCATGAATATGAACGACCAAGAAGTGATCGAAAATCATCACGTGATCGTGATGATAAATATGAACGTTATTCACGAAAGTAAATTTTCAAATATTTTATTTGAAGTTTTCTTTTATAATTATTTTTTTGTTTTTTGTCAGACGACATCATCGAGAAGATAGTGGACGTCATCATCGAGGTGATGATGATGCATCTCGTAGTCATCGTTCATCACGACGTACACCAACGAAAAATTTTTCTTCACCACCAAAAACTCTTGCTACTAGTAACAGTCAAGTTTCCTCAACAGAACCTTCTCAAACATTACCTGAAAATCCAGAAACAATTGAAAATGATCAGACATCAACAACAAATATAGCTGCATCAACAACATCATCATCATCACCAAATAGTCGATCACGTCGTGATGATTCTGAACGTTCTTCGTCACGTCATGGTCATCATAAAAAATCATCAAAACGATCGCGGCGTGATAGTGGTGATGAACGTAGTCATCATAGACATTCGAAAGATAAATCTAGTAGCAGTAAAAAAACAACAAATCAAACAGAAACTTCATCGGATGTTAAAGACCAAATAAATGACTAGAATACGTTTGATGTTTTTGTCCTTTTCGTTTCTTTTTTTTCTTGTCATGTAAATTTCTTCTTTTTCTATTGTTGTCTATTGATTCTCTGTATATCTTGGAGAAAACATAAAGAACATTAAATACATATACGTATTAAATAGATATAATTGTTCTAGATTAATATTATTATGGCTAGTCCACATACTCGATCAGTTCTTAAAGATCTTAAATTAAAAGATGATAATAATATTTGTTTCGAATGTGGAGCATTAAATCCACAATGGGTATCTGTTTCATATGGTAAGATATGAATATATAATTCCATGTAAGAAAGTTTACAAAAACCACTTTTAAGTATTTTCAATATAAAAAAATAACTAAATTTTCTTACTATTTTTCACTTGAAAAAGTATTTAGTAGAAGTAATTTATAGTAATTTTGAAAAGTACTTATTAGCCTTTCGCGCATTTCTTAAATTCATTAAAGCACTTTTGGATACAAAAGAAGTACTTAACAGTATTTTTCCAATCATTCAATATATTAGATTAATTTTCATGTTTTCAGAAGTATTTTATCGAACTTTTGGCTTATAAAGCAGTGAATCATAAAAAAATTAAGGATAAAATGTTATTTTAGTTGTATTCGAGTACTGTTCTAAACCTGTATAGTAGTGTTGCTTGCGTGTACCGCATATACACTTAATAACATTCCACAGGAATATAAAACGCGAGAATTTCTCGTGAAACCCTCAAAAAACCTTATTTTGCCTCCGGAAGCGTGAAATACTTCATCCAGCGAGCATCAAAGAACGGGGATTTCGTTCGAGACATTGTCAGTTACTTAAGTCCTCAAAAAGGTGCCAATTTAGATAGCCCTCTTGTTCTACTGTGATCTATAATTGCCTATTTTCCTATAAAACTCTTTATCATCGTATTCATTGCAGCTAGATTATGTGATAGAGAGATTGTTCTGAAGTATAAGAATCAACTGATGTCATATAGGATGTGGGTAGGTGTAGCTGCGTCTGTAACTGTGGGTGAATGTTGGCAACGCTCTTCTCTTCACTCTCACCCTTACCCACAGCTACACTCATACCCACCCTCACAGACACATCCACATCCACATCCTTATGCCCGCAAGATGGAAAGGATATTTCGAGAAGTTGACAAATATGTGGAGGAAGCAATCAATTTTGAAATTATTGATATCAATGCCTAAGATGAAGAAGAGTTTTTGATGGACTCCAGTAGCGAAGATGATATTTACTTTGAAAAAATAAAATCAAATGATTTATCTATCGAAAAATAGGCAATTATAGATCACAGTAGAACAAGGGGACTATCTGAATGGGCACCTTTTTGAGGACTTAAGTAACTGACAATGTCTCTAACGAAACTCTCGTTCTTGGATGCTCGCTGGATAAAGTATTTCACGCTTCCGGAGGCAAAATAAGGCTTTTTGAGGGTTTCACGAGAAATACTCGCGTTTTCTAACAGAACATCTTAGAAAGGCGTAGCTTTTTTTTGCCTGAGAACAACAGTCTAGTCTATCGCTTGCAATAATTAGAGGTCAAAATCCGGCTCTCTAACACCCTAAGTTTTCGATTTTGGTCGAAAAAGTTCGCAAACTTCATGAAGACACGTTCAAAAGTTTTCGTTCCCCGTACACAATTTACTTGCCTCATATAGAGCTATTGAACAAAAACATCGCAGGTCTCTAGCTATTATCATTACGGAGATATTTGACCAACACTGACTGTCTTTTTTAATTTGAAATGAATGGTAGTTATTTACTGTTATAAGATAGGATTAGAAGCAGTCAGAATCAGAGATGAATAGTACTTTTCTATTGGCTCAGTTTTTATTTTATGTTTAAGAAATTGTGCTGTTTTAAACTCAATTTTTCTCTTTCGCTTATGACAGAGTTTGTTTCAGATGAAATTTTTTATGTAAAACATTCATTTAAATTCAAAGCATTAATAAGAGTGCAATAGACATTGATGAAATATCTGTTCGCTTTACGAGTTATGCTCCAAGTTCGACAAGTAGATGAAATGGAGTCTTCAGTGTCAACATTCGAAACAGCATATTTTTCAACAATAAGAATAGTTTGTACCAATATAATTTCAATATTTCTAGTGCTTAAATGTATTTTCTTATACTAATTGAAAACTTCGCTCATCAAATCAGCACGTCATATTACTTCGTTACTATTTCGGAAATCATATTTCTAAAACTACTTGTTTTTACTGTACGGCTAGAAACCCATTTTGAAACAATCTGATTATGTCAAGCAAAAAAAAAGCAAAACAAATAGACATTTAAAGAATAAATTTAATATAAAATTCTAAATATTTGATTCTCATAGGTATTTTTATTTGTCTTGAATGTTCTGGTAAACATCGTGGATTAGGTGTTCATTTATCATTTGTTCGTTCAATATCAATGGATAAATGGAAAGATATTGAATTAGAAAAAATGAAAGTTGGTGGAAATCGTCAAGCAAAAGAATTCTTGTCTAATCAATCAGATTATAATTCAAATACAATGAGTTTACAACAACGTTATAATTCACGTGCAGCTGCACTTTATCGAGATAAAATAAATACAGAAGCACAAGGTAAAACTTGGTCTATAAATTCTTCACCAGCATTAAATTATACATCGTCTTATGAATCTTTATCTTCAAAAAATTATACTGATAAATCATCCGAAATAAAAAGAACTTCGTCAGATTGGACAGAATTTAAATCATCAGAACAACGAAATGATGATTATGATAATTATCAAAATAGTAATTTTAATGAACAAGAATATCCCTCTGATCTTGATAGTGGTCATTCAAAATATTTTGGTTTTGATAATAAAAATTATACAGCATCATCTCAACGTAAATCATCAAATCCTGAATTATTAGCAGCATCAATTTCAAATATGAGTGTTAATGCTGCTAAATGGGCAGGTGTTGCTAAAGATTCTCTTTTTAAATTTTCTAAAACAGCTGCTGAAAAAGCAACTGAATTAACAACAAAAGCGAGCGATCAAGCAAAAGATCGAACATTACTTACAAATGTTCAAACAGGTGTAACGAATATAGCATCAACAATGGGTAAATTAGGTACAAAAACATGGTCGGATATGCAATCATTATGGTCAGGAAAAAATTATCATTTAAATAATCGAGATGATCAACGTTTACATCATAATCAAAATGATTCAGATAATGTAAATTTTAAAGAAAATTTTAGAATTTATTTTATTTTATTTTATTTTATTTTTAGAACAATTGGTCTTCTTTTGATCCACAACCATCATCAACAGTAACATCTGATAATAATTTGAATTATCAAAATACTTCTACTAGTTTATCAAGTCATTGTCATGAACAATCTAAATCAAATAGTAGTCTTCCAATATTTAATCATGATCAAAGTTCTGAATCGTGGTTTAATGATCCAACAAAGATGAAATCAACTTATGTCAATATTCCACCCTCTTCTTCGAAAAATAATGATCATATAAATACATCGGTTCTAGTAAAACCTAAAGAAGAGCCAGTAGCAAATCTCATTGATTTTGATGATGAAAACTGAGCTGATGATGATTGTGCTAGATGGAAATCCATCGATAGAAAATAAAAGATAAGAAAAGTTTTTTGAATTTATTTTGTTCGTATTGAAAAAAAAAGTTTACATCTGTTTTCATTCCTATTGTGAATTAATGGATCTTCATTTATTTTCTTTTGATACAAATCTCTTTTTCTCAAAATAAGCTAGTGAAAATTTTTTATTAGACATTTTAATTGTTATTTTGGTGATATATTTATACGTTGTTTTTTTTTTCTCGTATTTTCAAAATAAAAATAACTATTGCTATTATTACTTTAAAATAATAAATAACCAAATTGTTTTTATTATATTCACTGAATTCATCTAAAAATTTAACAAATATGGTTCAATTCAATACATTCTAAATCTGAAAATGATCAATGATTTTATTTTTTTTTACGTGAGTAGCTTGAAAAAAAAATTGTTGATATGCATTGCTTTTATCACATTCGATTATTAGTAATATTCTAAAGCAAATTAGAATGGTGCTGGTATCGACAGCTGCACTAGTTTACAGACAAAAAAACAAGGTCTTGTAAAAAAAAGTGCTTTGAGAGAGAGAAAAGTATGTGCTCTTTTAACACCGATAATACACAACGAAAATCAAAAAGGGTGTGGCGGTTGGTATCTGGCCAGATACCAAATCAAGTAAATTATTTTCATTCTGTCACGTTGATATTCATTCAGTGTAGATACGCATCTATCGACATATTTTATCGAATTATATATATATTCGTTTTAAAAAAAATATCTCATGACATAGGTTAAATCATCAGATCTACGCATATTCATTAAGAGGTAGAAGTATACAGATTAAATAAGTATTGATATACGCAGTTTTACAAAAAGATAGTAGTCGAATCACCCTGGAAAAGAGAGAAATAAAGTCCAGATAGAAGATGCTTTGACTAGATTTTTTCTCTCAAAGTACCTTGGGTTACTTCTATAAGTATTTATCTGGTATTCAAGGTTATACTTTTTTTTTCTTTTGATAGGTATCGTCTATTGATTTCTTGTTTTTCATGAATACATTATATAGAGATAATAAATTGCTAACTCAACTAATACAATACCCTTGAGTTCAATCATCTTGTCCTTTTTTTAAAATTTTATTTCACTATGGTTACATCAGATTTTATGCGTGAATAAAAACACATATGCTGTTTCAATTTTCTTTAGAACGATAGATTTTTGTCAACAAGTTAAATAAAAAAAAAAAAATGGCCTGCCCTTATGCACTATCTGTTGAACGTGAAAACGAAACATCAACAGCAACTGATAAGTTAACTGTAAATGGCTCAGTTAATAATGAGGCTCTTTCTGAAATTCTTTCTTTAACTGGTTATGGCCCAACAAGCTCAGCTAAACCTGAATTAAAACGTTTACCATCAAGTGATGAATTAGTTACCTATCATAATTATTTACAATTAAATAAACTTCTTGATAGTCAACTATTATTAAGTTCAAAACATGATGACAATAAAGGTACTGTTCATGATGAACATTTATTTATAATTATACATCAAAGTAAAATTAGCTTATTATTATTATTATGAATAAATACATATATTTTGATTAGGTTTTGAACTTTGGTTTAAACAAATCATTTGGGAAATTGATTCTCTTCGTAAAATATTTACTAATGACATTATTGATGAAACTCATATGTTTGTATCAATAAATCGTCTTCAACGATGTGCTCAAATTTGGCATCTATTATGTGATAAAATAAGTATTTTAGAAACAATGACACCACTTGATTTTATGGAATTTCGTTCATATTTATCACCGGCTAGTGGTTTTCAAAGTTTACAATTTCGTTTAATTGAAAATAAATTAGGTTTAACAGATAAATTTCGAGTTGTTTATAATCAAGTATCATATAAAAATGCTTTTCCAATTGAATTTCAACAAAGAGAATTAATGAATTCTCTAGAACAGCCAACATTACTCGCACTTATTGAAGTAAAATTATTATTTGAATGAAATAAAAATCGAATGATTATTGTTTCGTTTTTTTCTTTTTCTATTTAGCGATGGCTTGAACGAACACCTGGCCTTACAGATTCAAATTTTAATTTTCGTGAAAGATACAAACGATCGGTTGCTCAATATATTAACTTTCTTCAAACAAATGCTGAAGTATATCAAAAATTTCTTTTCTTTTTATTTTCATAGTAATATTTTTGTAATTTTCAAGAGTGAACCAAATCCAACAGCACATGATGCAGCTATTGAAGATGTAAAGAAAACGGCTGATACATTTCGATCATTAATTGATGAAAAATTTCATCAACAATTAGTAGCAAGAGGTGAACGACGTATGAGTCATCAAGCTTGTCTAGGTGCTCTTATGATCATGCTCTATCGAGAACAACCACGTTTTCAAGTTTGTTCCGTTTTTTTTTTTTTCTTTTATTTAAACAAACTGGAATTTCTATTTGATTAGGGTCCTTATCAAATTTTATCATTATTGATGGATATTGATGCACTTATTACTAAATGGCGATGTAAGAGTCATTGTTTTTATCAGATTACTGAAAATTACGAATATATCAATTCACAAATTTCAGTTATCTGAACATAAATTGATTAGAAAATTTCTTATTTTAAAAATTCTTTTTTTTTATAGATAATCATGTAATACTTGTTCAACGACAAATTGGTAATAAACAAGGTACAGGTGGTTCAGCTGGTTATAGTTATTTACGATCAACTTGCAGGTTAGAATAAATTTGATGATTTAATTAATTATTTTAAAAAAAAATTTAAATTTTTAGTGATCGTTATAAGATCTTTATTGATTTATTTAATCTTGCATCATTTCTTGTTCCACGTGAATTTATACCAAAATTAACAAATGAAATGAGATTACGTTTATCTATAGCTAGTGTTGATGGAATATCAGACGATGAAAAAGAATATCAACCATCAGAAACAAATTCCAAAGAATAAAATTCAATGTCTACTAATTAGTTTTATCCTGTAGAAAAAAAAAAGAACCATAATTAATTTTAATAATGAAACAAAAAAACTGAAATCTAAATGAAATTTTTGATTTGATTTTTCTTTTTAATTCTTCTAAGATACAAAAAATGTCGAAATTTTTTTTAGCATCTTTCAGTTGTAGTTATATACTTTCGCTCTATTCTTTCTTTTAATGAATAAATTTAAAAAAAAAAGTATTCTACGTCAAATTATTAGCAGATATTTTATATTATTAATGAATAATAAAAACAATTGATATATACTATCTTAGAAAAAGCAAGTCAATTCATTTACATAGATAAAGCACTTAAAAAGAAAATACTCTAACTAATTCAATTTGCACGATTGAATTCATCAGAATTAATTCTGTTGTTTGTAATTCATTTGCATGAAAAACAATTGTATAGAGATATAATGTATTTACAGAGTAAGGTCATCTAAGGATGAAATATAATATAACGATGAAAGGGTATGCTTTCGTATAATGACATGCTATATTATCAGCTGCGTCATTTTCTCATTGTATATTTCATTTGATTTTACGTTTATTATATGTCACAATTGCTTGTGTGACGAAAGAATGGCATAGATCTTTTTAAAATCGATGATTTGAGTACTATTAAAAAAAAAAGAAGAGAGAGTACTGTTTTATATTTTACATATGTCATGTTATTGTTGTATATATTCTTTTTTCTTCAATATTGTATAATAGTTTCCATTCACATAAAACTTGACTACAACAAATACAGAAGGTTGGAAAATTCAACTGCACTTATTCTACGAAGGATATGAACGGCAAAGGCACACGTTTATCTTGATTGCTGAAATATTATCAGAATCACAATGAAGGACACGTATTTTTCTTCAAGCTTTTTTAATCTCAAAAAAAGATATCTATTGCATTTTTCAATATATAATTTGAGTTTATTTTATGTTGTTTCTTTAGTTAAAAGTTCTAGTGATTTACGTAAATATTAGTATTTCTGAATAATTTAAAACTCTTGATGATAGTATAATAAATGTTCGCACATGATATTTTCATTGAATATAAGTTTCTTTTATAAGATTCAAAAACGATAATCCTTTCAAAGTGTAAAGAAGAGTCATTCATTATCATACGTCATAGGATTAGGTCCTGTTTCATCGAAATTTTTTTTTCTTATATTGCCGTTTCGTCGAAAAATAAAAATGCAATGAAAAGAAAAAGACTATGCTACTCTGCTTGACTAGATTTTTTTAAACATTCTAATCAAAGATAATGTTTAATAATTTTGCATGATTTTTTTTCAAAACGCTTATTAGAGAGCAGTATCGAATACGCATATAGAAGATATTGGAGAAGAAAACATGTGTAGAAAAACGAAAAACTCAATATTTTTTTTTATACTAAATAATAGCATTATTTTTTCAAGACATTCTTCTAATGTTTATGTTTGTTGTTTAGTGTGGAGTCAGTGTAGGTTTCAGCGAACGGATACCCTCACCCTCATTCTAACCTATTCTCACATCTACCCACACCCTATCATCCATTAGTCTAAGATTTTGTTTCTTATCTTCTATTCATGAACCAAACATATGTATGCTGTAGACAAAGTTAGAATTCTACTTTTGATCGTATGCAATAAGAAAATCTTTATCATGAACTAGGGACGTTAAAGAAAGACAAATAATTCGACTATGAAACGTGATAAAAGTTTTCCAATTTTGTCTAGTCAAATGTAGGTATGAGTATGGCGTTTTTAGCTGAAGAATTTCTCTAGCTTTTGCCCATTTATCTTGATTCACTCAAACAAACATCGTAGTAATTAACTTGCTTTACATACTATTTTTCTATGTTGCTTATTCGAATAATTAGTGTTTTTCTATTGGATGGCTTGAGATATTTGAAAAATCGACCACCATTATCGATACAGCTCATTGATGTACTGTAGAAAGGCCGAGAAGGAAAACATCGAACATTGCCACTAGCAAGACATTCTTAATTTTTGGCTACGGAGTCTGCGCTCTATTCTTTTCTTTATCTAGACCCTCAAGATATCGAGATTCAATTCAAAATATTGCTCTTGACAAGCAAAATACCATTAAGAGAACTTCATGACGATTCCAAAATTTCCTGACAATTCAACATCTTTTATTGACTATTATAGCATGAAATATTTTGAACAAGAATTTATTTGAATTTTATCACCAATTTTTTCAAATGAGTCATATACAAAATATTTTGAAAAAAGAATGAGCTCGATTTATGTAGCAGCTGAAGCAGTAATTTGAGGTAATTTAGGCACATCCGATATGCTTGCATTACTTCTCGAATCGGATGAACTTGCATTATGTGTTGTAGTAAGTCCTTGTGTTAGAAAAAGATTGTTTGCATTATCATGATTAACATCAATTGGACGATCATTATTATCCATAGGAGTTCTATATGAAAAAATAAAAATAATATAAATTGATAATTCTACTTGTATTTAATATTACTCATCTATAGATAAATCTGTCATATTGGATTTTTTTGTATTCATTCGTATAAACAATGCTCGAAGTACTTGTTCTTTTTGTTCCCATGTTAAATCAGCAATATCAACTTCAGGGCCAAGATTTGTCCTATTGATGTAGTATAATTAAAAATTAATTATAACTATGAGCATTTTATTTCAGAAAGATATTAATATGATTGGCAAAAGGAATCGAAGCTTTTTTCAAACGAATCAAAAAAGAATTTTAGTCCTTGTTATGAATAGGAGAATAAAACCCTACAGTGATTATTCCAGATCAACTTTTCTTCCTAGGTTTAATAGAAGACTATTAGCGTAAAAGAAGTATGGTTTCAAGTAACGCATCTAATAATAAAACGAAATATTTCTGATGACAAAAATCCATGTAACCGTTTGTCAAAAAAAACATATCAACTTGAATCATTTTCTCATTTAAACGAGTAAAGTTTAGAAACTAAAGCAGAATAATAGTTCGCGTTTTAGAGATTGAAATTCGATACTATTGAACATTTAAAACATTGATTTAGTAAAAATGTTGAAATTAAGCTCGAATAGTTCATCATTGGTAAAAACTTCAAAGAGTACTTGTAATGTAATGAAAAATTATATATCATATATGATTTAGTATGTTTCACATGTGTCGAGTCACTCTGAATTTCCGATATTTTTCCGAACACTTTTCAGTTGGTGAGCTAACTTTTCGTTGCAAACACAACGTTAGAATATAATTGTGCATCATCAATTAATACTGTAGAAAGTAACGATGAAAAATGAAGAAAACCGAGGAGAGACTATAGTCTTAAAAAAAAACTACAAAACTTTTCCGTTATTGTAGTGAAAGAATCATTTGTATAAAAATTTGTCAGATTTTCTCAGTGAAGTAAAAGGTTCAATTCAAATCGAGAATATTTTGTCTATTCCTTGAACTCATTTCTGTTCCCTGAATAATATAACAGAGTTTTACACAAGCATTCTTTGAATATACCTGTAGAAAAACCGTAATAGGTTCTTCAGATATATCAATCCGTGTTTAATTTTTTCTAGGATTATAGAACTTCATCATTATTTTCGAATAAGCTAATCGATTATGCACAAGTATATTGCATTATAAAATATTGCCACACACTGTTCGTGATGAAAGATTGTTGCAAAGGTTTTTATCGCGACAGTGGTAGGCTTTTAGCCACAATGGATATCTTTAGGGTCTTACACTTTTGTATTATATCTTATAAGAAAATTTACCATTTTGTTGCTTCTTCTAAATCATGAAAAACACTATTTGTACTATATCCATGAAATGTTTCATTAAATGTTCGTATTCTTGGATAATCTCCTTGTCCATGATGAGCATTTAACATTCGATTTTGATAAGCATTAAATGCATCTTTTCGATATTGTAAACGATTTAAAGCAATTTGTTTTTTAACATGTTGTAAAGCATCCAAAAAGAATGTTTCTAATTCTGTACGTTGTTCAATAATAATTTTAGCTAATTTTTTAACTTTATTCATTTCTTTTGTTTTTAATTCTAATATACGTTGTAATCTTATTATTTCACTACGTGATGATTCATGTTTAATATGTGTTTGTTCAAGAATATTTTTTCGTTCAATATCAAATTCTTGTATAAATTGTGTTAATGATGTTTCTAATAATTGAATTTTTTCTTTTAACTAATATTTAAAGAGAGAAAAAAACAAAAGAAATTTTTTGATTTGTCTTTTTTATTTTCTATTGTAAATTACTTCTTTGATGAGATTATTTTGTTTTTGTACTTGTTCAATTTTTTCTTTTATTAATATTTCATTTAATTCTTTATCATTACTTGTAGTTGCTATTAATCTTGATAATTGTTCTTTTGCTTTTTGATATTCATCCAACTCTTGTTTATACATACGTAATGTGTCAATAAGATCAACATTTTCTTTATAGACATTACGATTTGTTTCATTTAAACTTCTAAAATAAAGAAAAAGAAATTTGATGTAAAATTTCTTTAAAAATTATGTTTTACTTTAAAGCTTCATCTTGTGCACGTGAAGCTATTTCTTCAATTTTTTTATTTGATTCTTGTTGTAAACGCATTTTTTCTTCAAAAAATTTTTGTTCTAATTTTTCTACTGTATCTTTATGTTCACGTTCATTAGAAATCATTGCTTCTTTAATCTATAATAATTTAGAAAAAAAAAACAAAAAAGACAATTATATCAATGAAAATTAATAAATTTTACTTCTTCAAGTTCTTTTTGCATTTGTGTTTTTTTCTTTCGAAATTCTTTTACTTGACTTAATTCATGACGAATTATTTCAAGTTCACTTTCTTTTCGAGTTAATTTCTCATCTAATTGACGTTTTTCTCGACTAAAATCACCAATCTTAAAAATAAAAAAAAAAAAATAATTTCTACATTTATTTTTATTTCTATTCATACATACTAATTCATCTTTAACTTTTCGATGATCCATTTTAAGAGTTTTAACAGTTTGTTGTAAACGATCTATCTATAGTTAACAAAAAAAAAAAAAAAATCAAAGCATACAGCTAATGTTTTGTCTTTGTAGATAATAATTATTTACTTCGGCATCTTTATCAGCATCTTGTTTTTTTAGAAAAGTTACAACATCAATTGTATCTTTTTCTGTAAGACGCATTTGATCACGCATTTTTTCATTATCATTCGCTAATGAACCAGCTATATCTCTATTAATATACAAAATTAATTGACATAATTAAACAAAATTAAAATTTTTATTTTTCTCACCGATAATGTTTGCGTGATAAATCCATCAGATTAAGTTGAGCTTCCCATAAATTTGAATTATGAATACCCATTTTAACAGCTGATTCTTCTTTTTCTTTAGTTTTTTTACTAGAAAAATTTCATTAATTATCGTTCTTATTAATAAATGATTAAGAAAAATCTTACCCTTTTTTCCCTTTCTTGCCTTTTTTGCCTTTACCACCTTTTTTTCCTTTGCCTTTTTTCGGCATTTTTGTAATCTAGAAAAATAAAATATGACTAAAATCTAGTTTAAATTCAATCGCCATTTCTAATTGATTTGTTTACAAAAGAATCAGCAACAACCTCTTTTTATTTGGCACCAATAAAAAACAGATGTCAGTCAATGATGACAATGATTAAATATGCGACAAAATCGATACAAAAATTTCTTTTTTTTTTTGTTTTCTATAACTTAAATTATTAACATATATATTGATATAAGAATTAGTTTCATTATTTTGCTTTTTAACTTAATTAATTAGAAAAATAAATTAAAATTTCTTTTTTTTTTTGTAATTATTTTAATGCTCAAAATTTGGTTGTCGAGACGACTTCCAAAATACACATAGATTTGTTTGCATATTTTTTATAAAATTGTTTCAGTTAATCAGCTTTATTCTTTTTTCTTTTTTTCTTTTTCGTTTGGCTTTGTATAATTTAATAAAAAAAAAAACCAGCATCAGTAAACTATAGGTGGTACGAGCAACGATAAAAAGCGTTTTTTTTTGTTCTCTCTCGCTTTGTCTTCCTTTAACGAAACAGTCAGAAGACGAAAAGCACTCGCTGTGGTATAAGACTTTTCAAGTGCCTGATTTTTATGTGTGTCTAACAGATGAAGCGCAAATCTTCGAAACGCTCGATTCTCAACAAAAATTCGAAACATTTGTCAAATTCATTAACACCAATTATTGATGTAACAACAATATCATCTAATCAAGTCGATTTAGGCATAGGAACTGCACATTTAGATTCTCATACACCATGTTTAAAGGCAAATTTAATATTAAAAAGTCAAAAAGCGCTCAAACGAGATTTACTTCGTTGTAGTGATCAACGACCATCACTGCTCGGTTCACATACATTACAACCACCACGTATTCATCCTGGATCTCAGCAAGTGCATACAGCGAGTTCATCATCATCTGATCATCAACAACCAAAACGTCGTCATTCTTTATCAATGAATTCACGTACATTTTATGCAACAATCGATCGTATAGGACCATGGCCAGATGTATCAATAAGTCGTTTACGTTCGGATGGAAATGAATTATTACGACCATTGAAAAATTTTCGTAATTTAAAAAATCCTCGTGTTTTTTCACCAAAATACTATGCCGGATTAAATGAAGCTACAAGTAAATTTATATTTTATTCATCAACACGAAGTTATATTGATGAATATCGAAAACAAAAAGGTTATGTACTTGGTACACAGAAAACATCACAAGTTAATTCTCTAGTATCATCAACACCATTATCAATACAACAATCAGATGAGGATCAACTTTCTGGTATGGGTGCATTTAGTAGTGCTGTAGCTGTTGACTTAAATAATAGTACGATTAGAGAAGATAAAACACTTATATCAACTACAGAATTATCAATACCAAATAATGGATTTACAAAATCAGCCAGTGATTCACTTGAATTTACTAGTACACCCCCATCAATTCCATCAGTCACAAAAGTTTTTAATGATCCACGTCATGTAAATAATTTTCCAACGATAACTATGCGTAATGGTCATCTTCGACCAACTCGTCATCCACCTCATCATACTATTGTTACTCAACAAGCTATTGCATTACCATCATTAAATGGTTCATCACTTCATTATATAAGTAGTATGAATTCAATTGAAAAAGCTTATTCAAATAGTAAGAAAACATCAACACAAAATCAATCAAAATTATTTTTTATTGACAGACGTCATAGAAAAAGGTATAGATTTATTTATATTGATTTTATCTAGAAATATAAATTGATTTGTTTAATAAAACTAGGATTTCAAATGGTGTTAATAGTGATAGTGAGGTATGATATTTATGAAATAATTTGAAATTAATAATACTAATTAAAATCACATTTTTTTGTTGTTTTGATCTATTTACCATTTCTCATATGTTATAGATTTTGTCTCGTTCACAAGATCATTCTGAACTTCAAGCTACCGGTGCTTCATTAGGAACATCTCCACAACGATCAACAGCTGTAGTGGTTTATCAATTACCTCATCAACCATCCTCAATTACTATTTGTCAAAATGATGTTAAATCATTGAGTTAGAATTGAAGAAAAAAAAATGTTTTTCAGTTTTTTTGAAATTAGTATTTATTGATAAAAAGATCATAATATTTGTGCTAGCTGTGGATAGATCATCTATTTGAAATCTCTTGTTTTTTTTAAAGAATATTATTTGTAATAGAATAATATTCTAATGATTTATTAGTAATCTCGTTTCAATTTTAATACAGGCAGTTTGTTATTTGTTTTTTTTACCTACAGAGAGTAAACTTGATTGAAAACAAGCTCCAATGAAAATTTGAAATTGACTAACTGTGTTTAAATTGTATTCATTTATTATATAAGTCCGAGGAAGCCACAACAGAGACTTCGATTGTAATGGTATTAAATGAACCTTATCAGAACTATTGATTATATATGATTACACAGTTTCCAACCATAAATTTCGAGCACTTTCATAATGGAAGATAATGATGTAGTATAGATAACGGAGGAGTACATGGCGTTCACGTAGCTGCCTGAAGAATCATAATGATAAAATTTTAGAACCAGTCTTATCTACAATGGCCTGTTTTAGACATTATTCGATTATTTCGATATAACTGGTTATCAGATAATAAACTGCATTTGCGAGAATAAGTAAATATTAAAGAAAACCTTATGTGGTCAACTATTCTGTTATATCTCAGATAAAGCTTGTCCTAGAAAAACGAAAAAGGAGGTACAAGGTTGCAAATACCCGTATTTTACCATGTGACAAATAAAATTTAACAAAACGCAAAGTAACTCAGGGCTGTTATCATGACGCTTTCATTATTTATCATTACTTTGCAACTTTTTACACAAATAATTGTAACAGAACGAGAAATTTACGACACTAAGTTATTATAAACTCACTTAGACGAAAAAACCATTACAGTACACCTTATATTCAACATACATTTCAACATCCCAGATATCTCGACAATTTTCATTTATGTCGACCAAAACTATATCTAATCTTCTTACAATACCGGTAGAGCTCGTCTATCGAATCTTCGACAATCTTAATGATTTCCATCTTTTATGCTGTACGCAACACGTTTGTACACGTATGAATGCAATTGTCGGCAGCTACCATCGATATCAGGTAAAACACTTTTATATCTGAAAATTTGAGTTTCATCATCTTCAATACATTATTCATTTATCTAAGATCGTAGCTTATATATTGTTTCGCTAGATTATTTTTCTTGGGTAACCACTCATTGACAGATTTAAGCGAATAAATTTGAAGATTTGTTTAAAGCAACTTATAGGTACTCTAAGTGCTAATCGAAAATTAAAAATTTACTACTGACAACAGTTGAAGTCAGCTAAAAAGCACTACGAGTAATAATTCAACAATCACAAAAATGAGCACCATTCGTTGAGATGATGCTAACTTGGAAAACGATGAGTCAATCATACTCCAAAGTTACATATCAAAGACCATTACTGAAATCGGAGGAACGAAAGCACTAGTAAAATCAATCCTCTCCAAGAATAATATCACATCGACACTATACCTTTACTTTAAAAAAAACCGAGATATGAGTAGATACTATATTGAACATTAGTTAAAACAGCGCACAACTTTAACAACGTTTCTGCGACGAATCAAAGGCTCAAACAGTCTAAAGAGCGTGAGAGCACCAACACCTCTTGCCATACATATGATAAACTTTCCTTCTTTTTTAAATCAAAGATTCGTATCTTCGATTCCACAAAAAATCACAACACAACTAGCATGCACTACAAAACATATATATATATATACTAACAAACTTTTACATTATTTCTTTTCTCAAAAGAAGAACACTCTACAGAGGATAAACTAAATCAAAGATTTCCTATATGCATCTACACCAACCGATTATAGACCCCTTTAAGATATCATTTCGTAAACCTTTCACCACTTCAACTTTCTTCTTTCCACACATAGGCACTAGCAACATTGGATCTCAGTGGCAATCCAATGGGACATCAAGTAGCACAACATCTCGTCAAAGCTCTCGAACAAAACCAAGTAATGCTGTCACTCTTTAGGTCTATCATTCACTGCCTGTTAAAAACAGACACTAACCACACTGGTGCTGTGTAACAATCATATCGATGATGAAGAAGCACGACATGTTGGTAAAGTTCTCGAGCAAAACCAAGTAATATCCCTATTTTCTCTATCTATCATTCACTGCATACTTGAATAGACACTAACTACAGTGAATCTCGGTAGCAATCAAATCAGTGATGACGGAGCACAACATCTTGGGGAAGGTCTCCGGCAAAACAAAGTAATATCCTCCACCTTCTCTTCCTATCATTCTATGCCTGTTCAAAATAGACACTAATCACACTTGACCTCAGTTCGAATCAAATCGGTGATGAAGGAGCACAATATCTTAGCAGAGCTCTCGGACAAAACAAAGTAACATCCTTATCTTCTCTGTCTACTATCTGATGCCTGTTCAAAATAGACACTAACCATACTCAACCTCTATATGAATCAAATCAGTGATGAAGGAGTACAACATATTATTAAAGCTCTCGAGCAAAACCAAGTAATATCCTTACTTTCTCTATCTATCATTCACCGCATGTTCAAATTAGACACTAACCACACTGAATATCGGTGGTAATCAAATCAGTGATGACGGAGTACAGGGTCTTGGTAAAATTCTCGAACAAAACAAAGTAATATTGTCCCATTCTCTACTCATCATTAGATACCTGTTCAAAATAGACACTAGACATACTCGATCTCAGTTTGAATGGAATCAGGGATCAAGGAGTACAATATCTTGGTAAAGCTCTGAAGCGAAACAAAGTAATATCCACATCTTCTCTATCTACCATTCACTGTCTGTTCAAAACAGACAATCACCACACTTAACCTCAGTTTGAATCGAATCGGTGATGAAGGAGCACAACATCTTGGCAAAGCTCTCGAACAAAACAAAGTACATCCTTACTTTTTCTATCATTCAATGTCTGTTCAAAATAGACACTAATGACACTGAATCTCGGTAACAATCGAATCGGAAATCAAGGAGCACAACATCTTGGTAAAGCTCTTGAACAAAACAAAGTAATGCTGTCAGTTTCTCTATCTGTAATTCATAGCATGTTCAAAATAGACATTAGCTATACTAAGCCTCTACACCAATGAAATCAGTGATGAAGGAGCACAACATCTTGGCAAAGCTCTCGAACAAAACAAAGTAATATACGCACCTGATCTATCTAGCATTCACCGCATGTACAAAATAGACATTAATCACACTTGACCTCAGTTTAAATCAAATCCAGGATCAAGGAGCACAACATTTCGGCAAAACTCTCGAACAAAACAAAGTAATATCTACACCTTTTCTATCTATCATTCGATGCATTTTCAAAATAGAGACTAACCACCTTGAACCTTGGTAACAATGAAATTGGAAATCAAGGAGCACAACATCTTGGTAGAGGTCTCGAAGAAAACAAAGTAATATTCGCACCTTCTCTGTCTACCATCCATTGTCTGCTTAAAAAAAGGCACTCACCACACTTAACCTCAGTTTGAATCGAATCGGTGATGAAGGAGCGCAACATCTTGGCAAAGCTCTCGAACACAACAAAGTAATATCCCTACCTTCTCTATGTATTTTTGACAGTTTGTTCAAAATAGACACTAACCATACTGAACCTCCGCACTAATCGAATCAGGGATGAAGGAGTACAGCATCTTGAGAAAGCTCTGGAACACAACAAAGTAGTGTTGACACCTTCCCTATGTATCACTCATTGTCTGTTCAAAATAGACACTAACCACACTCAACCTCGGTAACAATAAATTCAGGAATTATGAAACAGAGCATCGTGCCAATGCGGAACAACAAAATCGAATAATATTGTAATCTATTTTGGTGAAATGGACGACTTCTGAATTGACACTTCTCAAATTGGATATGAAGATGTGAGTGTGGATGCGAGTGTTGATTGATTCTTGTGGCTTCACGGTTCCCACATTCATACTTGTTTTTGAGCGATATTGTAGAAGAGTTTTAATTGTAATGTTTTTCAACCGCGTTGTCTTTTAATTTTTATTCTTTTTCCGTGTGATTTATGTGAAACAGAAATCTATTGTTTGCTTCGTTTTCCAATCAACTTAGTGTTAGTAGAATGCGCAACAATTAATGCTACAAACAAGTATCTTCTGACGGAGATGTATTTCAAGCGATGAAACGAACTTTCTATTGCATGTCGAGTCTCTGTCGACTCTAGCTTATCAAACACAATGATGCGAGAGTATTCCTGATAGGTATTAAATAATGAATGGATAAGCTTTGACTTCGCAAAAATGAATGCTGCATATAAATAAACAGACGAATCAGTAAGATCATCATCAAACATACGTATACTCTATAATTTTGGCTTGAACCAGAGAGTTCACCGGACTGTTACTTTTTAATTCGTGAATTATTATCCACACCGAACCCATAACCAAATAGGTCAGTAAAAATAGAACTTATTTTAGATATTAGATGCATGAATCTGTGGATTTAACGATTCAGTCGCATCGTTTGCTTGATAACCGATGAATTTCTCTACGTTGATGAAGTCCATTAGGAAAATGGATAATCTATGATGGTGTTCGCTTGTTCCTAGCGTCTTAGTCATGGTACTATTAGATCTTGTTTAATTGAAATATTCTGTTTTTATTTTCTAGATGAAATATGTATACGATCAGATCCTCTAATGGCTATACCTTCCCGTGGGTACATAATATTCCAATGTAGTGAGTGTATGTGTGTGAGTGTGTAATATCTCTTCATCTACATCCACGTCCACCCAAACCCACACTTCACACCCACACCCACAATTTATCAATGTCATATGACTTTTGTACTTTATCAACTATCCCTTCCAAGTATTCCAGTCATTATTTTACTGCATATATATTTATTTAGGTTGATTTAGTAGTGACAAAGTATTCAAATAAAGATTGTTTATGAGAGTGTCTTCGCAAATTGTTAGTGACC